CTCCCTCTGATCCCCTATGACAGAGGCACTATGCTGGTCCCGGGCTCAGCGTGACAGCGGGAGCGGGGGGGGGGGGGGGGGGTTGAAATGTTTGAGAAACTCCTATTACCTATTGAGAGAAGGCATTGATTCTTCAAGTCCTGGTATCAATAGCTTTAGAAGTACTGAAGAAAGAAGCAGCTGTAAAGGGGGTGTTTGAAATCTCACCTTGTTTCTTGGCCCAAGGGCTGTTTGTTTTTTAATTCCTGCAAAAGCCCTCATCAGATTGAACAGGTGTCTGAGTTGCCTTCATTGCTACATGCAAAGAGGTTTTGAGGACACCCATTTCATAAGCAAAAATATCTGGTACTTGTTGAGCAGAATTGTAGGGAAGAGACCTCCGGTGTCCATACATTAATAAAAAATTATTGTATAAATTGACTCCCCAACAAATAATATTTTGGTTCTAAGCCGTAGCCTTTTTTATGTGGGTGTGGTGGAGGAAAAAAAAAACCTCTAAATCAATTGCTTTTCTAGTTTCTGTACTGGAAGATTCATGGAAAAGGGAGTTGCAAAGTGAGACTGACATTCAAATTGTTTTGTATTTTGATAAAGGAATGCACTTGAAGGCTTTGAGGACCCTGATCGAACATTGGACTTTCCTGTAATGAATCTCCATAACCTCGTCCATGCTTTCCTAAATGGAACCAGTGGCTTGCCCCACTCTGCAGCTAATGATCCCATATTTGTGGTATGTATATGTCCTTTCTTTGACTTGTTACAAATGTGCTCTGGGCAATTGGCTCAGTATGTGTGATGTTTTCTTGTTTTAACTAGTGGAGAAGCCTAAAGGCTCAGATATATTAAATGTCAAGCCACCTTTTTACTAAATTATTTGATCACCAAAATGATTATTTTAACCTGGTCTCTCTGCAAAGATTACATTTTAATTTATTATCAATGGGTACTTCTACTAGTATGGATGTTGGCGTTAAGAGAATATTAATTATTTGAATGAATGTAGTAGAGTATACAGACCCATTTGTGCACACACACACACACACACACACACACACACACACACACACACACGTGTAAGCACATGGCTGTGATTCAGAGATTTTCTTGACCCATATAAACCTGTACATGTTCATATTTATAGGTTCTGCATTCTTTTACTGATGCAATTTTTGATGAATGGATGAAACGTTTCCAGCCTTCTGATGCAGTGTGGCCTCAAGAACTGGCACCAATAGGACACAACCGCCTGTACAACATGGTGCCTTTCTTTCCTCCAGTAACCAATGATGCACTGTTCACTCCTGCAGAAGAGCTAGGCTATACATATGCCATTGAGCTTCCAGGTAGCTATATAAACTATACTATAATATATATGTACTTGAAACCTTTAAGAAAAGAAATGGACTGCCATTACTGATGTATTTCTAAAAAATGCAAGCGTAACCCCCGGTATTTTGTGAAACCCTGACCGGGAATAAAAATGACAACTCTGAATGATCTACATAATTGGCCTTAGAAAGCACAGAAGCCATTGGCTGAGCTTGACAGCTAGGGTTTAGTATTTTCAGAAGAGAAGGTCAGCGAAGGCAACCTACATATTTCCTCTAACAAAAGCAATGTTTCTCTTGGGCCATGTAAAATCAATATTTCTCCAGGTTTACATCTTCAGTTTAGCATGCACAGACATGTTGAGCGCTGTATCACAACACTAAGCAGGGGTGTCCAAACAGCTGTGGTGAAACTACAAATCCTGTCATGGCTGTGAATGTTGGTCTTGTAATACCTCATAGGCTGTAGTTCCACAACAACTGGAGGGCCAAAGTTTGGCTACCGCTGCTCTAGAGGATATTGTGTCTTGTATTATAGACTCCAGAAAAGCAGGATTTACTCATGGCCTTAAGTAAAAATTAAGGGGTTGGGAGTTTGATCAGGGAGTAGCTTGGGTGGGTTCTCCAATTCCCAGTCCATGGTTGGCTTCAGTTTCTCAGCAGATGTAATTGGGTGCAGTGCTCAGGAGGTTAGGGATGGGAGTGGTCAACCTGTTTTGTTGGTATAAAATTGTGAATGATCTGTTTGGTTAATAAAGTCTGCGTTTCTGGATCTTTTTGCTAGAAAAGGTTGGAGTGGGCTAAACTATTTGGTGGTCAGGCAGAATTTATTTATTTTGGAGTTGCCATGCCACTTTCTACAAGCCTGAAGCATCAGTGAACAGTTTAGCTATGAACACCTAAAATTAACTGTGGACCTTACTTTGACCCTGACAATGTTGTGACTTGTGTAGAAGAGACATACTATCTATGCTTTCCAGTTGATGTGAATCTCTACAAATCTATTATGGATTCTCTTATGCCAATGCTGTGTCCTTGGGAAGTACAATTCAAATTTAGCATGATTTGCTTTGTTTGCTTGTTTTATAATGAAAACATTGGCAAATGTTTTTCAGTGTGGCTAATTTTTCTACCTATAGATATAAATTGTGAGACCTGCTACACAGAATGGGGGACAGAGTACAGGTGTACATTAGACGATGCCTCTAATACCAGCTTGGCAGAAAGATGTATTGTATGCAGCACTGCACCATAATATGAGGCAGTGAAGCTTCCTAACAATTTGACATGTGGCTTATACTGTATATGTAGTTATTGTAGAATGAATCCTTAAAGGAGAACTATAAGGCGAGTGACAATCACTCAGCCTCCTAGTTCTAGCCGACCTGTGACAATGAAACTGTCACAGGTTGGCTCAATAGATCAGGAAGTGAGCGAACACATAGCGTCGCTCGCTCGCTTCTCGATCTATCCCTGCAGAGAACTGTGACTGTCAGGGATTCCGCCCCTCTCCCCTGTACGATCCTCCAGCGCTGACTGGCGGAATGGACGGGGAAGGGGGTGGGCACAGCTGGCTCTGCCTCTAGATAGGCAGAGTTAGCTGTCTGTCCCGCAGCTGGGTGGATCTTGACAGTAATGTCGGGATCCGTCCTGGCTGCGGCATCTCGGTATACCGCGAGCTACAACTCGCGGTATACTGAGACGTTGCAGCTTAGGGTGGCGGGAGGACGCTAGTTTGTGTCCTATTACCCTTAGGAGAACTATGGGGGGTGGGGGGGAAGCCCTGACCCCATAGTTATCCTTTTAAACGTATTGAGATTGCAGCAACCACACTTGTGCACTACAGTGCTGTTGCAGGTGATAAGTCACATCCTGCATCACCCCATCACACGTCTCCCACTTGCTTGTGCTGGTGATCAGGTTTTTTTTTTCCTTCAAACTATGTATAATCCAAGTAGTGGTGCTGGTGTAAAGTTATTTTAAATGTGTGGAGAAAAAGATGACAACCCCTGTAGCCATTGTAAACGTATATGAATATAATGAAGCATGACCTGCAGTGTACAGTACACAGCTATAATTTTTCCCTTGATTTTTCTCCCCTCTCCCCCCCCCAGATACTGATGCAGACAGTCGGGCAGCTGGAGTCCTTGTGGCATCCACTGTTGGAGGAGCTCTTATTGCCTTAATTGTAGTTCTACTGCTTCTTCTTCTCTTCACGCACAGAAAACAGCGACAAGGCTTTGAACCACTGATGAATGCAAAATACCAAACCACAAAATACACAGAAGATGCCTAAAGTGATTTCAGTGTGCTGCTATCCTAACCTAACAATACACTGTAGCTCTGCATTTGTATTCACAAAGTATCTCATTTTGGTTTATTCCAAATCCCTTTGCCCAATATAAAGTGAACTTGCTTTAAATAACTATTCTGGGTGAATGTAAAAAAATAAATTTAGTTAATACTTAAAAATTGCACAGTTATTGAGTATCTTATGCAATCATTTTCTGTTTAAAGGGCAAGTTCACCTTTTCACAAAATGTAAAAAAAAAAAAAAATTTACTTGCTCACAGCAGCTTCTTCATCTCCCCCTCTCTCTGCTGTGATGTCCTTGCCAGCCAGTGTATTGATCCATGCACTCTACACTGAAGTTGACAGCCCTGCAATCTGGAATAATCATATGGCTCCCAAATGATGAGCGCTCATTGGTCAGCAGTAACATGATTGTGCGGAGCAATGAGGAACTCTTCAGAGCCAGGGACCAAGTATCGGAAGTAAGGAGGGCTACTTCCTGGTCAGCAAACTCAATCTGTCCAATACTGAGCCGCCTCCTCTCTACGTTCCCTCCCCTGACTTCTCCATCACAATCAACAGCACTACACAATCAACCTTCTCCCAACAAGCCAGGGTGCTCGGTGTAATGCTTGATTCTGAGCTCTCCTTTCAGCCTCACATCCAATCACTATCCAAATCTTGCTGACTCAACCTCTGTAACATTTCTAAAATGTGTCTCCTTTTTAACCAGTTGACATCCGCGGTGTTAAACCCCCTTCCCATCCAGGCCATTTTTCAGTATTCAGCGCTGCGGTACTTTGACTGACATTTATTCCGTCATGCAGCACTGTACTGAAATGAATTTTATACCCTTTTTACGTAAACGTGGGGGTGGGGGAGTTAAACATTTTGGGGGTTTTTTCCCCTCTTTTTTATGTGACTTTTATTTTACTTTTTTATGTTATTTTTATTTTTTTGCACTTATTGTTATTGCTATTATATAGGGGATAACAATCCCAGTATATAATAGCAAGGCACACTGACAGGTCCCCTTTTATGGAGACATTAGGGGTCTCTAGGACCCCGAATGTCACCTGTGGACCCCAAAAGAAGCTGATGAAGCAGAGATCGAGCACATATAGGCGAGCAAGCCTAACGCAGAGATGCGAACGAGCACATATAGGCGATCGGCGGGCTATGGACCCGCTGATCGCCTATATGTGAAACACCCGGTAACGGGTGTGTGCAATGGTCGGGTCTTTTCTGCCCGTGTGTGCCCGCTAGGGGGCGCGCGCGAGCAGAAAAAAATTGCCGTCTGGAGACGGCAACCCGCCAATGCAGTAGTGCCGTCCGTTTTTTTACTACAGGCAGACGGCAAGAGGTTAACCAATGAAACCGCAAAGCTTCTAATTCACTCCCTTGTAATTTCTCGCTTGGACCACTGTAACTCCCTTCTTGTTGGCCTACCATTAAACAGGCTATCCCCCTCCAGTCTATCATGAATGCTTCTGCCAGACTCCACCTTACCAATCATTCAGTGTCTGCCACCCCTCTTTGCCAATCCCTCCCACTGGCTCCCAATTGTCCAACAAATACAAATCAAAATACAAACTACATTCAAAGCCATCTACAACTCTGCTCCCGACTACATCTCCAACCTCATCTCAAAATATCACGCAAACTCTCCGCTCCTCTCATGCCTCCTGCTCTTTAATCAGCGCCTCCCATGCTCTCCTCCAGGACTTCTCCAGAGTGCCTCCAATTCTCTGGAACTCCCTACCCCAATCTGTCCGCTTATCTCCTACGCTGTCCACATTTAGGCAGTCCTTTAAAAACTCCTTCAGGGAAGCCTGTCCCACCTCAACATAACTCTCAATTTGCTGCTGCCACTAACTATCTCAACAATTACCTCTATCACTTGCCCCTCCTACTAGATTCTAAGCTCTCACGAGCAGGGCCCTACTAGCCCTGTTGTGCTGAAATTGTATTGTAACTGTACTGTCTCCCTCCATTTTGTAAAGCGCTGATGGATCTTGTATAATTTCAGACTGCAGGGCTGTCAGTTCTAATGTATGGTGCATAGATCACTACACTGGCCGGTGGGGGCATGACAGCAGGCAACAGGGCAGGTGGGGAAGCTGCTGTGAGTAAGTTCACATTTGGTGAAATGTGGACCTGCCCTTTAAATTAATATCCCCTATATGCCACTGGCAACTTTAAGTAAACCTGCCATAAGTGGAATATGGTGGCAGTGGCGTAACCAGAGTTATGGGCGCCCGGGGCAGAACATTTTTGGCCCCCCCAATTATATAAACATCCACTAGAACTGTACCCCACACATATATCAGCTAAGGAACTACAAGTCCAAGCATGCCATCATTGTCCCTGTACACCCCCCCACACACGCATATCACCCAGGGAACGGCAATATCTGGTTGTTGTACAGGGGCAATGAGGGCATGCTGGGACTTGTAGTTCCCTTGCTTATATCTTATGAAGCTGTAGTCCACCTGAAATTACTACAATGCCATTATAGAACTAAGAATAGAACATAAAATATTTTTTTTTTTCTTTCTAATACTCACCTGATTCCTGGATCCACCACAAGCACGGCCTCCCGTCTCCCACACTGTTAGAAGTTGCATACAGCGTGTGCTAGTTACTACAACTGGCGCGCGGAGTGTGCAGCGTCTGAGAAGATAGCGGGGAAGGCGGCTGCGCATTTTGCATCACTCCGGCTTTAGTACTTGAATCCCTAACCCACAGCAGGCATGCAGATGAGGACTTAAAGGCTTTTTTTTAATGACTTTTCTGGTCTAAATTCTTATCGGTTCTTGATTAGCAAGCATACAAAGCATTACCAGTCTATGTAACAGGCCATTGACTAGTATCAGAAGGAGATCAGCAATGTCACCTTACATATTGCACTCAATGCAGATTTACTGTTAACCCTACAGTGTCCCGGGTTCTAAGCTGCCCTTCTCACAGCCATTAAGTGATGCTTGCAGTGACCGTAACGGATGGCGATGTGCAAAGAAATCGTAAATAATTGAATCGGTACCGCTAGAAATTATCTCTTTTCCCACACATGCACATTTCAGGCATGAAAATTAGTTAACCCCTCCCCTTTTCACGAGGGGGCTGACTTATCCCCTGTGTGATGGGATAGTGCATACAGTCCTCTGTCTCTTTAGGGGTCGAATAGGTTTCTATAATGTCACATCTGTGATCCTTTTTAAAGCTGATCGCCCACAGTACATGGTCAGTTTCTTCTCCAGCCACAGAGCCGTTGAACCAAAGTGATTAGAGCTGATCTAACCGGAGATCAAACCCAGAAGAGATCAGCGATTGGATGTTTGCAAATCTCCCACCAATATTCATCCTGATACCCACCATGGAGGTCCTGGGCACCCAGGATGGACAGTTAAGCCTGGGAAACCTAGCATGGGGGTCAGGTAGGGTATGTTTACAGTACATGTGGAAGTGACTGGGTGGCTTTAAAACGGCTCAAATTTCCATGAGACAGGCTATGTGGTAAAAGGCCAAAAGTTGTGTGTGGAAGTGTAAACAAATTCCAGCTTGCTATTGTTTACATGCCAGTGCTGCCACCAATGTAATCCTTATGGCAGTGGCAGCAAAAGGGTTTTTCAGGGATGGGGCAAAAACAAGAGCGAGTCTTCAGTCTTTGTTATGGCAGGTGCACTGGTTGCGTCTCGGGCATTGAAGGAGGGGATGTAAAAGCCATTGTGATAGACTGTGGGTTCAGGGTTCAGGCATGTTTCATAGACTGTGGGTTCAGGCATGTTTCAGGAGGTGGAGTTGAGAACACCTGGAAAAGTTGCAGACTTCTAAAATGGTATTCTGCTGTTCAGGCATAATAGCTGGGAAATGCCACACAACACAGGACTCACTGAGTGATAAAGACTGTAGAAAAGATGGCTTATTGAGAACTTGGTACATGTATTTTAGAACTGTTATGTAAATGGATTTTTGTTCAGCGACCAGAAACAACTTTTCTCTGGAACTGTTTCTTGGTGTACTCCATAATATATGTTCAAAATATCTGTCATGAACTGCTGGTGATATTTGCTAGCATATTTGAGCATTTAGTGTTCTCACAAGTCTAACCTATGCTGCCTCGATTTAATTCTCTCCGATTAAAGTAAAAATGCAAAACCCACTGTAAGCTATACAAAACTGTGCATTTAGCACAATTTAATTCACATTTTTGGTTATTTGTTCACTGATTTTGCTTGGCGTTAGCTGGGAAGGTGTTTTTTTTTTTGAGGCGGGGGGTTGGGGGGGATGTTTGTATAAAAAAAAATGATGTGCAGTAAAGTGTCTTCTTGTTATACCAATTTGGCTTCAAAAGTGGAAATACTCTAAGGAGGTACATTGAAGACTATCTGGAAGCTATGCAAGGAATCTCTGGAAATACCCAGTTGATCATGGCCTACAATGTAGAGAATGCATCCCCCCCCATTAGGCAAATAAATACATTTTAGTGCTAATGAATCACTTTCAGTATCCAGAATGTGTTAAAACAAACTGCATTTTTTTTTTTCTTTCCCCTGTGCATGGTGAAAGGATCCATTTGAGGTGTACTTTGGTTAAAAAAAATTAGGATTTTGGATAATGTATTGGTTAATATGGAATCATTTTACATCCTAAGGCACCATGCTTTGACACTCTTATTGCTAATGTTTTGCACAAGAGTACATAATTTAAGGTTAAAGGGTTAGTTCACATTTGTTACTGTAAATCTAACCTCAGCAGCTATTATGACTGATAACCACTATCCATGTACAGGGGACCGTCAAGGGGACATTTCTGTTAAGTTAATGGTCGCTAAAGCAACCAAGAGTTATAGAAGAAGCGTTAAAGCCACCGATGTAATGCATACTGACATGTTCCACCATATGCCTTGTGTCGGTGGCAGGAAAGGGGTTAAAGGTGAACTTGCCCTTTAAATTCCATAAGAATACATTAATCTAATGACTCGGCTTGAAAGCTAGAAGGTTTAGTCTCAATATGCTTCATAAACTGAATGATACAGTTATGACTGGCTCATTAAACTTGAGAATATAGAAGCAGAGACAGGACA